CAGGTAAACAAGAGAGCTCACTTATACACGAACGAGAAGTCTTGGTAATGAAAATATTTCTATAAAGCAACCAGAAAAAAGAAAGAAAACAAAGACAAAACAAATTCAATAAAAAACCTAAGTATCACATCTGGAATACAAGAACTTTATTGCAAGTAACAAGGGAAGTAGAATCACAATTTTTGATCACTATCCAACAACAGTAAAATCATGGCAATCACTATGTAACCCTTTCACATGTCTTTGCTTGTCCATTGGTGTTCGGTTGACTTTCGAACTAACAACAGTTTCGAGAGGAGCAAGAAGATGAAAAAAGTATACGCGTACATGTTGACAAACTAACAGTATCTTTCCACTTTTTCTTCTCTCTCTCTCTCTCTCTGTCTCTCTGTCTCCCTGTCTCTCTCTCTCTTTCTCCCCAATTCATCTCACTCTCTCTCTCCCTCTTTCTGCCCCCCTCCATCTCACCTCGAAATTAATCGAATTGTGTTGATGGTGGTGAAAACATTCAGACCTTTCTCTCTCTTTCTAACTCTCTCCCTCTCTCTCACTCTCTCTCCCTCCTTCCGTCACTCCCCCTCTCTCTCGCCCCCACGAGTGTTCCAAATCGTGACGACGCATCGGTACCCACTCTGTCTGTTCACGTATAGATACACACATAACAATAACACATACACTCACACCCACACTAGCAAGACAACAAAACAAATTACCCCCACCCCCGCCAAAAAATAAACAACCAAACAACCCCCCCCCACCCCAATTACACCGTCTCCCCCCAAAAAAAACCAAAAGCCAAAAAGAACTATACGCGCGGTGACTCCATGCACTCAGGTCTGGGCTTTGAAAGTCACCCGGACCTTTACTCTGTACATTAATCGAGTCAGTTAATTTTTCTTGTTTTAAATTAATTGTTGTGGCAGTCCGTTCCGCTCTTGAATCAATGCATGTTTCAGTTGTTGGGCTATGTTAATGTCATTTTGGGAGCTCACTATGAGGCCTACATGTGACATGTCCGCGTGTAGGCTGGTAATGGCAGAACATTCACATTTTGCTACTGTAGATACTGCACCTTTACACTGGCAATGTGGACAATGTGTGGGCGCTTGTTGTCTTTTTGGAATGTGTGCACACGTCTGTGGGTTTGAAAGAAGAGAACCAGGTACATGTACGTCTGGAGAGCATTATGGTACTTGTTGGCGTCGACTGTAGCGTTGGAAATGTACTGTTAGGTCTTGTGGTTGGACGATATTCAACCCCACATCGTCTCGCTGCGACCGCTCCATCTATTTTATGCATGTAGCAGTCTGCTAGTCTCCCTCCTCTCTGTCTCTGTCTCTCTCTCTCAGTCTGTCTCTGTCTCTCTCTGTCTCTGTCTCCGTCTCTGTCTCTGTCTGTCTGTCTGTCTGTCTGTCTGTCTGTCTGTCTGTCTGTCTGTCTGTCTCTCTCTGTCTCTCTCTCTGTCTCTGTCTCTCTCTCTCTCTCTCTCTCTCTCTCTCTCTCTCTCTCTCTCTCCCTCTATCTCTCTCCCTTTTCTTTCTCTCTCCATCTTTTTTTTCTGGGACGTGAGGGGTGGGGGCACAGGTGGTCCTACTTCTTTACTCTCCCTCTGTTGTGTCTGTCTGTCTGTCCAAGCACTAAATGACCATAATTGTGTCGATGTGCTCATCCTTACTCAAACTCTCTCTCTCTCTCTCTCTCCCTCTCTCGCTCCTTTATATATCCAATCTGTCCGAGAAGAGAACTCCATCCCAGAAGAATGTAACGTATGCCCAGTCATTTTGATTGTAATTCTAGGAAAGATGGCAGACATTGGTAATTATTAGGCCGCCTCACTCATGTCCAAACGTGTTGTGTAACGCCGTTGTATCCTTCTTTCGCTGATAGCTCTTCCAGTGTCAGTATGAACTTGACGTGCAGAGCTAGTCGTTGAGAGAAAGCGATCTCGATGATGCCAGAGCAGTATCTGTCTATCTTCTTGAGCAGTATCGACCTGTGGTCTGCCTAGTCTGAGTCTGTCAGGTGTAACTCCAGTGACTAGGAACCTATCTTTCGGGATATTGATGGTAGGATAAGAGCAAAGAAGCATTCACGCCACTCCACGGGCCCATAGTACAGCTGTCAGTATTCCAATCGTCCAACAGCGCTCCTCTCGGTTTTACCTTGGCATCTTGTATAGCACTTTAAATAACCAAAACCAGTTGGAATGTGTATGTAACTTGGGTTTTTTTTCGGTTCTAAAATCGCTAATGTGTTGGTCTAAAACACAATTTAGACGATTTCATAAGTCACAAAAGATCTTAATTTGCATGTGGGCCAAATGGCCCTATAGTTAAATTTTTTTGTTCAAGAAAAAGATCAGCGGGGAGCCATCGCTCGCGTGAACAAGGGCGCAGTTACAAAAGACAATGTGGAGCGTTTCTATTGCCGCTGGGTATATATACATAGCGAGAGAGAGAGAGAGAGAGAGAGAGAGAGAGAGAGAGAGAGAGAGAGAGAGAGAGAGAGAGAGAGAGAGAGAGGAGGGGGGGCAGTCAGATTTAAAAACTACTTTTGGCATAATGCACAAGATGAAATTCTTCTCTCCGATTCGACCCGGTTTTGATAACTGGGGAAGTGTGTTAATTTAATTGATTTTGTTCACTTCGGCTTGTTCATTGGGTGTATCAAATACTTCAACAATCAAGAAAACTCATTTCTGTCTTTGTAAAATAGAATAATACGGTTTCTTTTGATCGTGAATATAGTTGTCGAATTGTGTTTTTCTGAAACTGTACAATGGCCTTTTTGTACTCAGCCTATGTATTCTTTAGTTTTACATAATAGGGATACCATTTTCACGTGCTCGCACGCGATTAATGAATATTTCCAATCCACGTTTCATCTGCATTGGTTTTGGACAATTAATACTCACCGTTATTGCTGACGATTCACGAGTCCAATCATATCACAAATTGCACGCTTTTTCATTTTTCCCATTGAACTGTTATAACTTATGAAAGGGATGCGTTTTTTATTGCCTTTCAATATGATATGATTTTGTACCTTCCTTCTCCACGTTGTTATCGTCTTTTTTCTCTCCTCTACCTCTTTCTGCATATCCTTGTTCCACTATGTCCTCCCTGTCCCTTTCTTTGTACCACCTTGTTCCACGATGTCCTCCCTGTCCCTTTCTTTGTACCACCTTGTTTCACTTTTTATTCTTACAATAAATGTCAAAGCAGATTTCAGGAAAAAGTCTTCTTGCAAGCATTATTTGTAATGGGATTTTTCAAACAAGCATTCTTGAAGCAGGCATTGCTATAGTATAATCTATCTGATTCTATAAGCTTTTTCATAATAGTTAAAAAGTTTTTTAGCTTGTGTTTTGCGGTACGTATTTAATATTGATGGAACATTATAGTCTTTGAGAGTGTTCCTTTAAGAAACATTCATGAGTAACACAAATATTTGGATACTCTCTTAGACAATACACTACCAAAGTGTAACACAAGCAAACAGACAAGCAAGCAAAAAACAAAACAAAAAACAACCCAAAAACAAACAGACAAACAAAAAACCTACAGGAAAAAAGAACAGACTCCATCCGCTGAACACCAGAGCAGTCTGGGGAAAAATAATTCCGCTGCAGTCTAACATAATATACAACTACTAATGCTGTTCGTGAAATAGCACACATATAATATCTTCCTTTTCACAAAGGTTTAGTATTTCTAGATTGGAAGATGCAATATTTATCTTTGACTTCCTATTCATTGTGTGCTGAACAGACCGATTTATTTTTCTTGCAAACGTTCTTTTTAAACTATTGCAAAGATTCAGTGAACAAGAGAGAAGGAATGTTACGTTTTACAAAATATTGAAAGCGTATCCACTGACCAGCCATAGTCGTTTGGAGATCTTCAGCGTTATGCTCAATTTTATTGAAACCACCCCCCCCCCCGCTCATGTAGAGTTGAGAAGAATATTCCCGAAAAAGTTCCTGCTTCCACATGTGCAACCATTGTCGTTCCCTTTCGTTACATACATCTAGAATTTTTGAACAGTACAAACTTAACGGGGGCTCTCGTGGCCTAGAGGTTAAGGTGTTCGCCTCTCATTCAAAGGTCCCGGGTTCGAATCCGGGTAGCGACGGAAAAATGTTCTTCTCTAAAAATTGTCTCCTTTCACCTTCTTTCCTTTTCTCTTGCAATATTCTGTCGTCTGCTTTCGTCTCCTCCCCCCACCCCTCACCTCCTTTACCCCCTCCACTAGGCTCCTGACTCTTTCTGCAGCCTTTCTACTGCTACTCCGTGGCTCTTTACTGCTGTCTTTCAGCCACACCCCCTATCTTCTGGTACGAAACATCTACACCTAGCCTTCTCGGACAAGGGCGAAAAATCTTGGAGGTCCCGTGTGCAAGTTGCGCACGTTAAAGGTCCCTTGGTGGTCCAAAATTGATAAGAGTAGGCTTCGGCCGCAAAATTCTAAATTTCCTACCAACTAAGAATGATTGGTGTGTCCCTCGCGCTCATACGACCTTATGCAGTTGCGAGCGCAGCAAAACACTTAGCAAAATAACCCCCCCCAAAAAAAACAACAACAACAAAAAAAACAACAACAAACAAACAAACAAAACAAACTTGACATTAATACCCCTTTTATCATGCAAATTGTTTCAGTATTGTGCAGCAAAATGCCTTTCATCCATCTTTTTTATCTGCCCTTTCTGGCGGATACTGCAATGTCAAACAATATATCCCAGCGTTTTCTGGGAATACCTTTCAGCAGATTCTGGAACGCTCTTAACAACCCCTAAAATCGCCAATCGTGTATAATAGTCTTGACAAATCTCTGGTTAACAGGTTGTGATTACATGTAAGAGCTGTATCAAAGCCTGATTGAGAGAAATAAAAAAACGCTCATTTAGAATCACACTCACAATGAGCCATAAAACGGTCAATATTCAACAACTCTTTTTGAAAATAACCCAACAAAACAACAAGAAGACAAAGACAGCCTGTTTTTGTCAATATAAAAAGCGAACGCTTTTTTGTTTACAAATTAGAAATATCGCATTGTATGTGTAGTCAACTAATGCTCCCACAGTGGGGGGCGCTAACTGTTTCTTACTGTATTCCTGCACCGGTTTTTCAGATCACAGACGTACTTTTTCAGTTTTTTTACGTGGCCAAGAAAAGCGGACCTGATCTGCTTGTTGAGCAGGCCGTAAAGTATCGGGTCCGCGGCGGCCGTGCTTGTCGCCAGTGCCCCCAGAACTTCTAGCACAGCCAACAAGGTAGGGTAGTTCCAGCCAGCCATCAAGCGCATAACCAGAACCGTTACAGGAAGAGGAAGCCACAGGAAGACGAAACAGAGAAAGAGCAGACCAACTTTAAGCGCTGCCTTCAGCTCCACGCGCCGCCGGCCCTGCTCTCTATTACGAGGGTTCATCAAACACACTGCACCCTCCGCGCTTGCCCCAGTCGCTTCCGCTTTGACAACTTCTAGATGCACAGTCCCGTCCATCTCAACAACCTGTACCCTCTCGGAGCTGTTGGGCTCAGGGGTTTTTATGGGTGTGGCAAGATCGGCTTTTCCAGTGGAAGGGTCTAGTTTTAACCCTGGACTAAGAGCCGCAGTCATGATGTTCTTAGATACAGATTTATCTTTTTGTGTGACCCTTTTGGATGCTTCCAGCTCTTTTGCATTCTCGTGGATGACGTCCATGTTTTTGGTGCTAACGTTTGTAGCGATATGAAAGCCAGACGTGTTGCATTCGTTGGTTTCTACGGGAGAGTTATGTTCATTTTCAGGTTTGTTCACTCGGGTTTTCGATTCAGTATACGTGCTGCATTGAGTCAATATGGGTTGACTATCTTTTATTGTGTCTGAGAACTCTTTAACAGAGCTACCGCTGGCACTTATCGGTAACGGTACTGGAGGATCGCAGATGGGAACTACATCACAGCGCCTTCGTCTTCTCATCAGTTTTCGGACCATAGTCTGAAATTTCACGTATCTAGACACTGTTTGTGTTTCCCTTTTCAAGGCTAATTGTCTGTCAACAGGAAGCACCTGATCTGCATTCTGGGCAATTGCTATCGACAAAGGCCTAGCTTGAGAACGGCCATTGTTCCATTCGCCTTGATCGTCTGATAAGTTTTGAGTTGTGAATATCAAGTTGTTACGTACACCAACGACTTTCACGCTGACATCATCATTGCTTTGATGCCGAAGTTCATTTTTTACTTTACCTACAATATTTGTGTTTTCTATTCCACTATGCCACTTGGACGATTGCGATGTACGACCCGAATCTAAATGATGACCGTCATCCACTAAAACTACCAGAGGCACATCTGTCAACTCGGAGGTCTGCTTTTTAGCTGATAAGTTCTCTAAACACTCATCTTCCTCTACATTCAACGTATGGGATGAGACGCAGTCAAATGGCGAAATTTCCAAATCGTTGGTTTTTATCTCATTGGAAAGTAGGGTCGTTTCCAATAATGCACTGTTTTGTTCTTTATAGCGAGAAGATGATGGAAGATTAGATGGATATGATTTTGAAGATGTTACTAGTCCAGCTAGGTTAAGCGTATGCGGGTTTTTCTTAGAGACCATTCTTGATGTCAATGAGGGTTCGGAGCTAGTGAAAGATATATCACTTTGGAATAGGGAATTGTCAATTTCTGAAATAGTAGGATGAGTCTGAGGATATGTCGTTTTGCCATTGTCTTTGCTTTCATCCCTGGATGACGTTGCTGTTCGGTTCTGAGTCGTGTTGTTTGACACAGGAGTTGGCCCTGATTCTGTTTGCATATTTTCTTGATAACCAACCTCCGATTCAGCGTTACTGCTGTGCAAACTAAGTTGATTTAAGTTTTTTGTGTTCTGAGAGACGTCTACAGAGCTTGGATCTGGAAGACATTCAGTAACAGAACAGGGGTGGCGGGGAATCTCTGTATTTTGTTTGGATGTCATTAACTTTGGGACAGACTTTCTGTCGTCTCCTCCAACAGCAGATGATGTGATTGCATGACACGGGGATTGCTTCAAAACTGTAATTTCAGCATCTGGAACGTGCTTTGATTCTGTTGCCTTTACAGCAATACCGCAGTTGTCCTTTGGCGGAGGATCGGCAACGACGGACGTATTCGTGTTCTGTGAGGAGGAGGAAGTCGTAGTGACGTTTGCAACTGTTGAGACAGTAGACGTACGGCCAGGAGAGGTTGGGGGGTTTCCACCTTTAATCTCGCTCTGAAATTTCAGAACAGTTCCCTTGGTGACGTCACTTTCTTGTTTCGGTTCATCAGGTTGGAAAGCTTTGTTCACCACCCCTGAGGGAGGGAGACTTTTGCTTTCTTCGATAGGCGCTATCTTACTTTTTGGTTTCGGTTTCGGTTTCGGTTTCGCGTGGCCGGCCATTCTGCGCTTCTGTCGACGCAGAACGTCAAGAATAAGACTGTAGCTGATCGCTATGACCAGAATCGTGGAAAAGGTCAAAGGTAGTTCAAC